TTTATGAAAACATCAATAATTTTTCAGCTTTAGGAAAAATATAGCTTGTGGTGTGTCTGTGTGAGTGCTCATGCACTGTATTTTTTAACTTTTTATTCCCTGGGAAGAGTGGTCATAGTCATGATCTACAAATGTCAATTGTTTTTATCATGCCAGTTGTTACTTGTGTCATGGTGATGTTTGGCTTCAGATTCTGCATACTTAACACACTGCTATCTTCAGTTGTCCATGTGAAATTCTACAATGTTTGGATTTCTTCATCAACTGGAAGAGCCTATTTCCTCTGCCCCCATCCTCCCTCCTCAGCTCTTCTCTATTTGGAGAAGCCTTTGTGGGCTGGGTGTGTCTGGACCAGAAATATTAATCTACTGTGATAGTAAAACCAGAAAGCTTAGTAGATTTCTCTGTATCATGGGAATACATTTTAAGTTAATAATAGGTAAATTAAGACTGCATTTCTTCTGTAAATATATTCTATCTTTGAATATGATTAAAGCTGGGTCACTGCATCAAATAAAGCTGAAATACAAATGTSTGAACACAGACTTCAGAGGCACCATCTCAATCTGATCTCTGAAGGCACACAAGTAATTTGAAATGTTCTGGTAGAAGGAGTTATGTAAGTGGCACACATCATTGCAGCGTGCATGTTKTAAAATTAAACCCATAAGCATTTAATAGACTCAGTAAAAAAGTTTGGTTATTTTATAAAAGTGATGATTGGAGTTTTACTGAGATTATACCTGTCTGAGAAAAAAACAATTTTGCAGTAAAAGTTAAAATTTATATTTAAGTGTTCTGCAGCTTTTTAAGTTCAGTATGTTTYGGCAATTTTCGGCTATTCATTTGCTTCCTAGACGATAATGTTTCTTTCCATATACAGACCCATTTAAAGGCTTTTATCTTCCTCCAGTGCCAGGCAGGGCTGCTCCTGGGGAGCTGCACTGCTGCTTGTGCTGAGCCTGGCCTTGCTGCTCTGATAAACTGAACCACAGCCTACAATTTCCTTTACCATGTCTTCATTTAGTGCTTTTCTTTGAAATTACTGCCACTGCTGTGCTATTTTTTTCCACTGTGACTGAAACATTAACAATCAAAACAGGTTTATTTCAATACCACATGTTGTGACTGAAAATAGTAGCAAAAAGAATTTATTTAAAAACATCTCCACTATCTGCCAAAATCTTCTGAGCTTGAAGTAAAAGCTGATGAAGACTATCAAGACCTTTATAACTCTATAGCAATTGGAGTCTCAACTACATGTGAAAAGATTTAAAGATACAGCAGGAAAACCTTATTCATGTAGTAAGCAGTTCTGTGTTCAGTGTACAGTGCAGCRAAATGCACTGATTCCTTGTGCAGAGTTCTAGCTTCATTTCATGTTAAAAGGAAACCCAGCTAACCCTGTTCTGCTGAGGGATGCTGTCTACAAGATCTGGGATATAACAACAAGAACAYTTTACAGGCAGACATCCTTTTTGAAGTTGTTTCTATTGTGTCTTCTGAGACCACAGAGAAATATGCCCACAGTTTCAGGGCAGGGCAAAGAGTGGTTGATGGAGACTGACTATGTTATTTAAAGCATTATGATGGTTTGCCTGGTTTATGTGGAGGTGAATATGTAATATCTCTAGAGCCCAGATCATTGTGTAAATACTTATTTATTCTTCTATTAAGACTTTGATACACCTTACAAGCCACAAATGTTCAGAGATTTAACATGGATATGACATGCTCTAGTAAAGTATTGCTATAGTAATTCTGCAGCAAGTACCTTTGCTTGACACAGAAATGAGGCACAAGGGTGGACTGTAATTGTTATTATTACTGGTTTAATAAAAGTAGTATTTCACTGCACTATATAAGTCAGTAAAAGAAGATGAATCAAGTGACTTCACTAATGTCACTTGGGAACCAAGATGATGAGAATGGCATTGAAAACATTTTTTTTTCTTTGCTGTTATTACTATGTGGTCTTCGTTGGTAAAAGGATTTAATGCTCCTATGCTGTTTCATGCTTATCTTTCACTAAGATTGATAATTTCAGAAATTAACATATATATACTCCAAATGCCAAGTATGAAGGGGAGTAAATTCTTGAGTGAATTGATATTGGCTGTGAGTGAAGAAAGTAGATCATCACTGTGACACACCCTGGAAGTTGTTCTCTGTTGAGCTTCCTTGCCTTTGAAGTCCTTCAAAGCTGGGCACTCTGTATGGAATAAACAGAGCTTTTACGTCCTCTAGTGCATACTTGTCATGAGCCTCAAGTTAAAAACAGAGTGTATCGCATATTTCTCAGKGTTCTGTTGAAGTATTTGTTTCATTAAAATTTTATTAGGAACTTTTTCATGGATTGATTCCTAGCTCCCACAATTTTTAGCTAATGGCTGTGGAACTCTTATTTCACAATTAATCCACTTCTTATCATTTATATGGTATACAGAAATGTTTCTGAGTAGTGGTTTCTTTTGCTGGTGCTGTTCAAAACCTTTGCTATGCTGCACAYGGGTGCTGTAGTGCCTGCAACTTGTAGAAAGGGAATGTATCTTCCACTTAATGCTGAATATATACTGAAAATAAGGTCAAGAGCASTAAATACCCTGAGAGACATGACTTYCCTGAGAGTTCCAAAAAAGCAAATACGTGTTGCCTAAATATACTCTGTTTTTCCACTTTAAGAGGCAATAGTTGAAACACTTGCATAACTGAGGACACTATAAATTCTTTTGTAAGGCTGTTTGTTGCATAGAGAAAGAGTAAGGGCTTTGTAACAAAGCAAATAAAAGGCATATCTAATGTTRGATCAGTGATTGTTAAAAATGTTGACTTTGCTGATCAGATTTGCTACGGTTATATTTTTATTTAGTAAGAAAAATTTCATTACTAAGTTACAAATGAAGAGCATATTATCAAGGTTAAATATTAATCCTTTGATAAGAGACAAATGAGGATTTTTTCATTTGATATTGTCCTTGATTCTTGTGCTTTGTGATGTTCTTTTAAGGCTTTGCACTGTGGCCGTTTGATTAGCCTGTAATTGGCTAAGATAAAATTTGTCCATATAWTCTGCTTTTTTCTCCCCCAAATATCACAGTTTGTTTCACTTGATGYACACAAAATCTGTGTAGTTTCAGAGGATGTAGGTAAGGGGAGCCTGATACTGTTTTTGTTTTTGTTTTTTTTTTTTATTTTTTTTAATTGTGTCTTTAATAGTAATGGCAAATTAAGATTTTTCCCCCATTTGAATATGCCAGCTCCCCAGACTACATTATTGAAAATTACCTGTCACTTTTTGGTCCATTGAAACCRGAAGACTGACTATCCTTTGCACCAGCAAACAGAGGTGGATGAAAGATGCGTTTTATAGTCTTTCCTATTTAAAAGACCCAATATACAATAASCAATCAAACTATTTGTTTGGCTTTTCACAATGCAGTATTACTATTCTGAGTAATTTAAGTCAAACTAGTTAATTACCTCTGTCAAGAGCAGTTGACTGGTACATGAAACAAACATATTGCCTTTTTAGGGGTCAACTATGGTCTTACAGTTGTGATGACATAAAGTTGTGGTTTAGCAGTATTGAAAATGGAGAAAAAATTTAGTAGAGCTACCAAAAAATTGACTGGAAAAATAGGCATTTTTGTTTCGTTTGCTGCTTTCACGCTGTTCTGTCCTTAAATATTTAGCTATGTAAATACACATTTSAAATTTCTGGCATTCCCCTTAATATATGCTCATCCCCATCTGCAAGTGGTGAGAAAGAGACCAAAACAGGAAAGAGAAAGAAGGCCACTTCTTCTCTGTATATATATTTTTTAATTTAAAAGCAAAACATCCACAAACATTTGGTCTGAAATAAAGTGAAGGTTGTGTAGTATCAAAAGAGGTCCAAAATAAATACTGAAGAGCACAAGAAGTATCATGGGATCGACTGGGAGATGATGAACAGTGAAGCAAAAATGAGCAGTTTGAAAAACTCTGTTACAGAAAAGGTTATAGATACTTACATTGCCACATGTCATCATCCTGTTAGGTTCAAAATAGGATTTGATATCCACAAGCATACTAAATGTTGTCTTATTGTTAAACAGGACTATGGGGCAGATCCTGGATATCATATGTCAATACATGATGGTTTCTACCTGATGGAGGTTTTTTCTTTTTTAAATGATGTGCATGAAAATTATTTCTGAGACCTGGCTTTCTAAATGTCTTAGGCACTATTCATTATTATAAAATCATATTATGTATCAGAATCATGTACTCTGGTCATACAGATACATAAAAGAAATAATACATGAGACAATTAACTTTCAAGTAGGCATTGTAAATCTGTGTTAGAGCTTACTGCAATGGCAGGAGTTACCAAAAATCAARTAATAAAACCTACTCTAGAACTCAAGCCTTTCATGCCGTATTTCAGGCTTTAGTGTATATTCACTGTTGATTATAGACACCCTAAAAATAGGGGCGTTTAAATGGAAATGCTGACAGATTCTGAGCTCTCGTGTTGGTAGCAGGCGCTGCTATAATTAGGCGTACATCTGAGGAGGCAGTGTAATATGATTGCCATGTTTATGCCCTGCACTGGAAGGAATGTTTGTTAATCTGCGCAATCCTTTCAAATGAGATGGGGAGCAAGAGTTTGTGGAAAAAAGATGTTGAGGTTTAGTTTATATTCAGGCAGACATGAGGGTATATCAAAACACAGGAAATACTTGCAGGATATTAGATAATTCTGATTARTTTTCTTGTTATCTCACGATTGAGAAAAAACATCAGAATTTATCGGAAAATATCAGGCACAGTACAACTCAGCAGAAGAATACATGTGAAAGGTTTTCTATCTTTTTATTATAAACAAAACATGGTTGAAATAGTTTGAGTATCAATAAAACTTTCCTCTGTTTTTAGGCATTTAAACTCTCTAGTCAAAAGATCTTTTTCTCCTATCTCTATTTACAGTCAAACTCCTTTTTCTTTTGTAATTTCAGAGGTCAGACCCCAGCTGTTGCTGAATTTAACTTGCTTCTTAAAGCAAATTCTTTGGAAACTTATGGTGTTGATCCTCATCCTTGCAAGGTAACAGGTTTTTTTTACTAAATTTTAATAAAATATTCTTCTTAATAGCACTTAGTTAAAAGCCACTAATGGTGTTGATTTAGCTCTGGTATTTATCCAGGCACAAATAAGGAGTAATTTATAAAAAACCTGCTCTTTAACTAAATATTATACTTAAGCCTTGGAAGAGCACTGATTGGTTAATATTTCTGCACCAGTCAAAAGAAAGGTCTCTCCAGAGGAAGCAGAAGAACATCATAGGAGAATCTAGTAGAGTGTCATGACACAAGCTCTGATCTTACTTCATAATTTCTTTGCATTTAGTGCAAAGGTTTCTTTTAAGTGCTCCAGGTGTGAAATATTTTTTGTTTTCCAAGATTTTCAAGATTCACCATAGTTCTGCCCAGACGATGCCACAAATTGATAGTCCACGGCAGATCAGTTTTTCAAACACCATCAAAATATGCAAATCTAAGGAAGAACAGCAAGCCAAAAGTACAAAGAGGAGAACTCAGTTCCCATTCCCACTCTCCACTCTGCTATTTTGTGGTCCTCTATAAGAAGGTGATCTTCATTACCAGTTCTGATTATCCCTTACACCTGCATTTTTAATTACTTATGCAGATTACTGCATAATCTGCAGGGTTGCTTTGTGTTTTAAGGGATGCTTTTCTTTGGCTGGTGGATTATCTCTTGTGCTGGGACAGCAGCACTGTTCAGTTAGCTGTTCTGGTGGCAAACACCCTCAAGCAGTCAACTCTAACATAAAACCACATAAGATTGTGTATATACTTGTCAGGAATGGTGCCCCTGTGTGAAAGACAAGCTCAGTGAAGTCAGTGATGTAGTAAAGTTCTCTCTGAAACTATACTGCAGATTTTCAAAAGGCATCCCAGAGATTTAGGTTAGCACTTAGTGGCATAACTGGCTCAGAATTTCCTCTTTATCTTTGTGGTAGGGCGTATAGTGTAGGGGACAATCAGAGGTTCATCACCTATGCTTAAGGAAAATTTGTCTCTCTTCTAGCAGTGAACTGTCAAGCAAGGTTCTTCACTGGTTCCCTATGACATGCTCTTTCCAGTGCTGTGGCTGCTACTCCACAACCATCCCTGTTTCTGTTGTCCATTATTTTGTTGGTGAAATAGAAGGCATAGTAAAGTTGACTATCTTTAGCAAGATGAGGTTATAGAACTTGGGATGGACAGAAAATCCAGTTAATATCAAATCCATCATAATCATTAGTCAAAAATTATAAGTGAGAACTTTTATTGTGTAGTTAAAAATTGTGTTTTCTTTACTTTGAAAGGCAAGTACCACTATATCTTCTGGTTTGTACCCGAGAGTACTTGAGCACAAACCAGAAGCTTATAATAGTAAATGCTGTCTGCCAGCAGTATTTCCAACACAACACCTTGCAGAGGARCAGTGTATTGTGAAATATCAAAAAATATCAGTGTTGAATGAGATATGAATCCCAAGCTTGTAGTTAGTCATCCAGTTAAGAATGGGACATACACAGAAGTATGCTTTTAATAAAATTGTTAAGTCTTCCTAAGGGAATCCCTGTTGTCATCAGCTACAGGTAGATGSAAATGAAACATAATCTGCTGTTACTCCCTTAAATGTCTGGAAATAAGAGGCCTGTATTGCCAAGAGCAGTCCTTTTCTAAGAAATTTACATTTTGAAGGCAGTTTTGAAAGGGAAAACAAAATAGAGGTAATCCAGAATGGACCAACAATTTATGCTGTCAGCGAGAAATACTTTGTTGGATGAGGGGAAAGTTWTGTTTCTTTTTCTCTTTCAAGGACTCGTTTGGGACAACTACATTTTTAGGATTCACTGCCGCTGGATTTGTAGTTTTCCAAGGGAATAAAAGAATTCATTTATTAAAATGGTAAGCATATGATGTAAGAATATCTCAATAAATGATTACCTTCTCCTATGTCTTCTCTTTTTCCTATCATTTTCACTATTTGTTGTCTTTAAGGTGACCCATGTGAATATTACTTTTCCTGCCCCATCATGTTTCTGTTTTAAAGGATTTTATATAACAACAAAAATAGTAACAACAACAAATTTAGTCTGATTCAGCTCCCAGTGAAAATTATTCCACAAGGTACATTACTCAACAAAATTTACAAATACTAAAACTGAGTAGGTTGATTTTTCAGTTATGCCGTAAATCACTAGTGAGGTTTATTGGCAGRGGGGTCTGGAATAATTTACAGAAGTCCACTTATTTGACTTTTTGAAATATTGCTGTTTCCTCATTTAATTATCTTCRATTTGAACACTATAAAAGAACTTACTTGGTAAACAGAGGAGGAGGTGAGAATACCTTTGAATTTTTAGTTTTTTAGTATATTTTAGTAAGAAGCAGGCACTTAAGCAACTGGCCTTGGTTTGTTTGGTTTTGGACTCCTGGACTAAACAGGTCAGCCTCAGTCAGCCTTATTTGAGGAAGAGGTGAAACTGAGCTCCTGAGATGATGTTTTGAGCAGCTGGCCATGCCCTCAGCAGTGACCAGTCATGCTTGGACGTTATAATCTCATTTTAGCCCTGCTACTACATGGACACCAACGGCAGCTACTTAGGTGAGGCTGTTGCATCTCTGAGCTCTCAACCTGTGTGTCGTAATCAAGATGGGCAGAAGGCAAAAAAACAGTGAAGCTGTGCTCCTTACTGTATACCTGTAGAAACATCCCTGAGTGTTGAATAATCTGAAATCCTCAGAGGTGTTTCAGTGAGTCAGTGTAGTCCTGTCTGGACAATTGAGCTACCCATGGAGATCAGAGCACGTGCCTGTCGAATGCCATCCACTTGCAATCCTGCAATGCTGCAGTTTCTATGGGGTTAATTGTGGGCAACCATGCTCACAGCACTTCAGTGATTTTGGCAAAAGGAAAATATAACTGTAATGTCAGTCTATGGTGCACYGAGGAGAGGGTAGCACTTGCCAAGATGAATTTTGCCCATACTGAATTTTGCAGCACTTAGCTTTCCATGTTATTTGAGGATAGCATAACCTCTTGGTGATCTAGGCATATTTTTAAAGTGCATTAATATRTAAACCAGAAAAAAAAATAACAGCAATAGAGGAAAAGCCAATAAACAGTCTCAATGTTACCATAGAGGTTGGAAGGTCAATCTGGTGAGATTTATCTGAACACTATGTACTGCTTCTTTCATGTTAGAGGCCTGGAAGTGAGAGCTAGTAGCTGTAACTAATTTTAGATGAAATTTGTGGTACACAATAAAAATCCAAATTTGTATTTAATATTTTCTTTTCAATGTGAAATCTTGCTCAACTGGAATGCTTTTTGCTTTTCTCATGTAAAAGGAAAACTCTTGCTATATAGTTTCAGATAGGTGTTTTCCTTGTGTCCAGAGTTATTCCCATTTCAACTCTGACGTGTAAAACTCCTAGACAAGTTTATGAAAAACAACAGTGTCTCCATTTTAACTACGGTAATGAAAAAATTTCCATTACAATTTAAGCAGAGCCATCACATTGCCTTTTCATGGTGCATTGTTGCTCCATATGTAGATTGAGCTCTCAACCTTGATTAAATTCAGTTTTTATATAGGTTTTGCTACTTATAAGGCCCCTCTATTACAGGTGCTGTCAAGCATTTTCTTTTTGTCCTTGTTGTGTTCTCTGGTAGGTAGTCAGTTACTACTTTGTGATATGAAGCCTCAGATAAATAAGTATAGAGRAAAGAACATTATCTTTCCCTCTGTCTAGTTCCAGTAGATACCAGATTTTAAGATGTAAGATGAATTACAAACTGTGTCATAAATGAAGAGTAAATGGAAGCTTTTGCCTGMCTTTAATTTCCTCTTCACTTCCCAGCAGACAAAGTCAATTCTTTGAATGTACATACAGTTGTAAAATATCCTGAGCTTATGTTCTCTGTAAAAATTAGACTATCCAAAAGCATGTAAGGTCTGTTGAGGCCTTTTTGTCATTTGATAGCCTGCTTGACTTTGGGAATCAGGGAATCTTGCTAGTTACTTTTCTTAATTGAAGATCTATTTTTTTTTCCTGTACTTATATATTTTTTTATCTTTCTAGGTGTGATGTCTATAAACTGAAATTTGAAGGAAAGACTTTTTATGTGTTTGGAGCCCAGAAGGAGGTTAGGTTTAATATTTTTACAGACTTCTGTGCTTAAGAACCACTAAGACATAGCGTATTTATGTAACTAAACTTCTAAAGAATCAGTAGTTGTACTTCATATTGTAACTAAAATATAGAATATGAGTGAATGTGATTATTGCTGATTTTTAAAAAAATGTCTGATTTGCAAAGGGTTGAGGCATTTCTCACTATAAATATTCATACWGTGCTATGTTGACTTGTTGTGGTTTTGGATGCCTTCGGAGTAAAGCTTTAATTTATTTTAATGTGCTAAAGCTGTACTCGCCCAGTCTATAGTATAGAAGATGTTTGTATGTGATTCAAATTCAAAGTATTGATTCCTGGATCAGTGTGAGGTATTTTTGGTAAATCACAATGACATTCTCAAATCTTGGTCAGCTGAAAAAGCTAGAGCCTGTCCGAGGTGGTTAGGAGTCCTGTCACTGGCCTCTTGTCATTGAGATCCTACAGACTTTTGCCTACAGCATGTTGTTCCCTTAGGTCAGTGATGATAGTCTAAGGTSATCATTTTGAGTGCAGTGAGGAAAGAAAATGAAGGCAGGAAATAATATCACAGGTATCAGGACTGCTCACGTGGCTGCAAGGAGATTTTGATGGTAGGACATCAAATTGTAGGGAGGAGAGAGAGGTGGAGAGTACGTAGTTCAGAAACTGCAATGTAGAATATTGAGCACAGTGACTGCCCTCCTTTGATTTTGCCCTACTGCACAGGTATTTTACGAGCCACTTGCACACAATCTCTTACATGCTCCCTCCAAGCATCTCCTATTATTTCTGAAAAAAATTGCTTGGGCTGTTTGAATATGAGCTATTTGTGGATTATACATCTGTGGATGAATTTATCTGGTTCTAGGTGATGCCATTAGGCACAGCTACTTCAATCTTTGAGAATTCAACATTTTCACTGCTTTCATTTGCTTTCTTTTCCTTGTACTTAGAAAAAGGCTGTGCTGTCATTCCATACTTCTACACCAGCAGCCTGCAAGCATCTTTGGAAATGTGGGGTGGAGAACCAGGCTTTTTACAAGTACGTACACCTAAAGTCATCATCTATACCAAAAGTAAAAAGAGAATGTGCATGTGAATAGAAGATTGTTCAATATGAAATGTTYCATTCAATTGACAGAATGCAGAATGCAAATAGGAAAGATGCAAGTTAATGGGGAATATTATTTCACTTCAGGCCAGTATTAAAAGTTGTTTAAAATTTAAATGAGGCAAGAGGATTTTAGCTCTGGCACATTGTTTTCACTTCTCTGTAGTGAGATATTGGATGGACACAGTTCTGCACTTTTGCCTGGGAACTAGCTGTTAGTCTTAGCCTTGCTGTGAARTATCTTGAGCACTGAGGAAACAATCTGTTATGCTTGATTCTCTGGGCTCTTCTGCCAGGAGGTAATTGTTCTTCCACTTGAAATCCAAGGCTTAGTAAGAGTTGACTGAAAAATAAACAGTTCTCTGCTATGATTTCAGAAAGAAAAGAAAATGTTCTTAWAAACCTTTTGAAATGTATCTATGGTCTTGTAAAACACAAAAAGCCTGTAAAGTGACAAGAAAAATGGTAGTATCCACCTCCCTGTTACCTGAAAGGGAACCTGATAATAATTCTTCATTAAAAAGATCCTCCGCATATTTTCTGCCTTCCATTGACTTAATTAGATCTGTTTATTGATGCTTCCCTTTARGCATGTAGCTTTTATTCTTGCTGCTTGGTCTCTTCTTACAGCCTCTTGCATATTTTATAAAAATTACTGTTTCTGTGTTGGCACATAATAACACCAGGGAGCTGCTGTAAGGGTAAAGAGTAAATAAGTAGGAAGAATGTGTCTTCTAACCTGGATGTTAATGACCTGCTTTAATTTGGAGAGGAGTCCTTCTTTAGTTTCAACTGTTTTACAATAATATATAATCTATCCAACAGATATATTCAATGAACAARCAGAAAGTAGGAGCTCGCACAATGCACCTGTTGATTCTCTGTGTTAACGTCTACGGTGCTTGAGGCTTTGTGAAGTCTAAATATAATCTATATGTAAAGGCTAATATGAAGTTTATCAGGAAGTATTTACCATTGCAAGTAGACTTWAATGGGAAAGTAGCACATGGTGTTTGAGAGGTTTTATTTTATTTTACAAGAAATAAATAAGGGGTAGGAGACAATTTTCACCCAAAGCAGAGAAATTAATAATTTTTTTGAGCGGAAATTTGCTCAAAGTAAAAATGTCTCAGGGAGACTCCCAGCAATATCACCCCTCTGCTCTTGTTAAATGGTTGTAATATTTACATTTGGGTTTTGGTCACAAATATATGGTTGTAGAGGATTTGTTTGATCTTGGTTAGATACCTGATGCCTACCCAGCTGCTCTCTGACTCCCTCTACTCAGCAGGCCAAGAGGGAAAAATACAGTAAAATAGCTTATGAGTTAGGATAAAGAGAGAAAGATTGATTACCAATTACTGTCACAGGCAAAACAGATTTGACTTGAGAAAGTTTAATTTTAATTGTTTCTCACCTTTTTACTTTATTTCCAATGGTCAGTAGAGACAAAACTAAAACCATCATTCACCTGTTGAATTCCAGGCTCAACTTTACTCCTTAATTTCTGAGTCCCCTATATCCTCCTTGCCCTGAGCAGCTCAGGGAGATGGGGAATGGGGATTGCAGTTTCTCGCTGCTGCTTCTATCTTCTATGGACAGTGCAGAAAAATAACAATAATCTTCTAAACATGAAATTGAAGCCAAAACAATCTAGAAATAAAGCCTTAAGWTAGTAGTTTTGAAACAGGAAATGTTTTCACACACGTCAGACAAATAGAGTTGTACAGTGGGGACAGTTAGTTACTTAACAGCATTAGATAAATCCCATTTGTTTATGCTCTGTATAATACCAACAAGGTATTCTAATAAGGTTAGAGCAGGCATGGTCAGATTGTGCAAGTAATTCATGGTAATGACACTTTGCCTTAATTAAATTTGATCCTCTCCTCTTCCTAGAAGAGTTTCAGACTTGGAATTTAAGGAAGGGTCATGATCTCRTGACATGTTTTGAAAAACAGAGCTTTAACCCTGTCTTGATCCAGGTTCAGGGTTCACTGTTGCCATTACGTTCAACCAGATATTAATCACAGGAAGTTGTTTACCAGGGTCGGGGAATGAGAGACTCAGTACAAAATCAGTTTGCCATTTTTCAAGAGAACGTCAAAGAAATAGCATGCSTGYGGTACTCTTCCRTGATTTTTGTCATAACAGACTGTGATAAAAGGTTGCTGTGTATTTGGTGATTACAGAGAAGCAGTAGGACATGATGTAGGCTACTGAGAGGTTGGCAGGATAGAGATATTGGGAAAGGATAGAGATATTGGGAAATCACCTACCTTGGGAGACAAGTAGTTGTCTTTGTTATTTCTTTGTTTCCCTAGTGGAAAAGCAGAAACAGCCATGCTTTCCCACAAATGAGGTGGTGTTAAGACATATGTCCCAGGGGCTTTTGGTGTACCACAGTATCTTTCTTTCATGCTGTGAATGAAAATCTACAGAGATGCAACAAGTGTCTGCATTTAATTTTCCTGTTTTCCTGACAATCGCTTGTTCAATGTTCAGTCATTCTATGCTGAATAATTCTATATATGCATATATATATATATATATATATATATATAGTGTAGTTTGTATAAAAGCCTTAGAAAAGTTGAGAAGCTAATTTTTTTTTATATTACTTTATGGTATAAAAATTACAAAGTAGCTATTTTGTAGTTTGCCTTGCTTATCATGTCCTCAAAAATGTGACAGCCCCTACTATTTTTCTTCAAGGTATGCAAAATCCAGTCAGATCAAGACAATGTCCAGCAGCAAGATATTTTTTAAAGGCAGTAGATTTCGATATAGGTGGGTATTTGCTGTTTCTTGTTCATGGTAAATAATTTCAGAAATTAAGAAAATGTCAGTAATTACTAATGGCAAATTCAGGGCCTTTTTTTACTGGAGGGTCTCTTCACAASTTATTGAGATCAAGATTTGAAAGATTTCCTCTTGCCTCTTCCGTGTCACTTTTAAAATAAACAGGAGTTTTCACACAGACACTTCTGTCAAGAGTAGTTTCACCAGCAGACAGCTGCGCTTTTGGTGCAGCTTCTATAAAAACAAGGATGTGTGGCCAGTGCAGAGATTGCACACCCTCTGCAGCTGGGCAGCTCTGAACCAGGTGTGAGTTAAAGAGGCACTCCAGTCCCACTTGTGGTGATCTACTGCAAAAGGTTGCTTTTTTTTTTGGCAGCTTTTTGAGCAAGTAGTCAGGGCAGTTTTGTTCTGGGACATTATGTATGTACTTTATAGGAATTTTTCCTCCCTTTTTTCATTAAATGCAATTTAATCATTCACATTTACATAATTCTTGCATGTGTCATAGTATTTACTTGAATATTTATTTCATCTTTTAATACAGTGGAAAAGTAGCCAAAGAGGTTGTGGAGGCAAGCTCTAAAATCCAGAGGGAACCTCCTGAAGTTCACAGGTATGTCTTGACATTCAGTACTGAAGTTTAAGGACTAGGGAGGATTATTTTCCTCTACGGAAATATTCTCTTTCCTATACTGTCAGGTGTAATGGCTCTCATTCTGAGTTTCCACAATTACACATGCAAGCCTTAGGAATATATGTCACCATCTTACAGAATTCTGACAATAGTGTATTATCTCCTACAAGGGAGAACCTAATCTGTGCTGCTTTGAAGCTGAGTTTAATTAATCATTCAGCTTGGTAGCTTGTACTATTTTCTGTATTATGAGATAAACTGACATTATAGGATCCTGACAGAAAAGTAGATTCTCATTTCATTCCTAGATTTTGTTTGGTTTTGAAAGCTTTCGGTTTCTATGTGCTTATGGGTATGTTTAAGAGTATACTTGATAGTTTTTCCATAATGCAGTCAGATTAAAAAGCATGAAGTTCAATCAGTAAAGAGAAAAAAAAATTAGAAAATATTTCTTTTGCAGGAAAATTTGGCTTGTAAGATACAAGCAGCTGGACTTTGCRAGCAAACTAAATCTTTCAGGTCCTTATCACTCATTGTAGTGGCAGTAAAAATTCCTAAGAACCTGATTAAAGAACATCAGAAAAGAAGGAGACCATCAGGGAGCACTATTTGAAACCTTTTTTAAAAAAAGGTTACTTAACTTTCTGAACATTCTACAGCCTTATCCCTATTTTTATTGAGATTTCTTTTCATGTTTCCAGGGAGTGTGCTTGGTTTCTCAATTGAATATTGATTTTCTGTCCATATTTGAGATAAAAGTGGATTGTCTTATTAAAGGGTGGAAATATATTTGCAGTAAATATTTATATGTTGTCCAGCCCTACTACGTAATTAACAATTAGGCTGTGCAGACATGCTTTCAAACACATTATTCCAGATTACATTTTAAAATGGGATATGTGAAGGTCTAGAATACATTAAATGAGAACACAGAAGACAGAGTGTAGATGCATCATTGAGTCAGTATAGAATATTTGGGCACACAAATGTATTTTAAATGAGAATAATTGCTCACATTAGTAAATTGTTGTTTTCCAAGAGGATTCTTTAGTAAATTGTTGTTTTCCAAAAGGATTCTTTATTCTAGGATAAGAAAAGATTTGCACTTAAAATTATTTTTTATCTTGTATTTTGCTTTTCTTTGATTTCTATATTTAAAAGTATTTTAAATGTATTTTTTAAAACATAGTGTACATAAAGAAACAGAYCAGAGAGCAAATAAATTTATAAAGCAACATAATGTGGATTTAACACCCATAAGTAGCAATACATATTTTTTGTTGTCAACCTTCTTAAAAAGCTTGCATTTACAACATTATGGAAGCTCCAAGTTCAGTGTATTATAATGACTAAGGAATAGTCTTATGATTGATTTCAGGTGCTTTTATAGCTCGGCTTGGAAATGGGAGACAGAGGTAGCTGATCCTTCTCAAAGCACAAGCAGGCAAAAAGTTTAGCAAATTTTTGGCTCAAAAAAAGAGTGTATTTTAAAATGAGTTACTCTGTGAAAGAGGATTTGGGGACAGGAAAATATATATAAAGTTTTTTCTYCCTGTACTCTCACCCTCAAAGTGAATTCAGTTGTACCTTGGCTGCATTAAGAAAGAACCATGCAGCTGAGAAGAGGGTACTGTTGAGTATCTTTGAGTTTGGATATTACACTTAAAGCWCTGYATAYTGAAAAATCCACTGGAGTGGSTAGTCATGCAGGATTAATGCAGAGGCAAGTTCTTCTGACAAACACACTGAATGATTCAATATTTTGCTTCCAGGGCATGCCTGAAGGAGGCATCTTTGTAAATAAGCATGGAGCAAAAGTCTATATGTGCTCCTAGGCCCAACTCATATTTTGGGAGTTGCTTGAGTGCTCTTAACAAGCACAAAGATCCAGGGATTGCATACAAGCCAATGGATTTACTTTTGGGTTGGGGTGGTTATAATATSAATAATTAATTGAAAACCTTATATGGATAGTGAAAATTTAAACTAAGTAGTTGTCAGAGGCTGTTGAGAGAATGCAAATGAGGACAAATGTCTTTGGGCATGTATTAAGACACAAGAAATCATGTCARTTGAGCAAGAAAGCTTGTTTATGCCCACAGAATGTTTAATGACACGTAGTGTAGGTTAAAAGTTGGGCATCTGCCTACCCAGTTTAACCTTGGGACCTTCAGCAACACGCAGTTCCATCTTTTGACTTGCAATAGGCTCTTTGTTCAGTCGATTTAGGCGGAATTTTAAGTTGAATCTTTGTGCAAACTTGAAATGCTTTTTGTGAAACTTCAGCACTGGATCTATATACCATTTGAAGTAGAGTAGAACACTCTTCCATTTCATCTTTGCTCTCATCAAAAGTAAATATTTTATAACATATTTGTTGAGACCTTTTCAGGATTCTTGCTTCAGGCCTATATAGTGTAAATCCTAGATAATGTATTCAAAAGAACCCTTTTATATTCTCAGTAAGATATTTTTAGGCTAATAAGCACCATGGCTGAAGAAGATCAACAGCATTCCTAAAACTTTCCAAAGCATACTCAATACTTGCTAGAAGAAAGTCTCTTAGAGTGTAGCGAGACAAGAAAGAAAGCCGTCCTGAGTGCTGGGAGGCACAATGTAGAGGCAACATCTGGGGTGTGTGGGCATGAGCGAGAGCACTCTGTATCAGCAAACCACAGGGACACAGTTGCTCCTGCTTCAGTCTTTGATGTGCAGTGCTCAAACTGTAACAAATCCTTTACCCAGTTCTGGAGGCAATGGCAACCTTCCCCTTCCTCGAACTCAAATACTAATGTGTGCTGTGCATTGTGGAGAGGAGCAACACACTGAAATCCTGCCTAAGATGAAAGAAAGTCAGGCAGTGTAAAGGAGGCAAACCAGCACAAACCTTCTCTCACACTTCAGGTATTGAAAGGTTTACATCTGCAGAGGGTGCAACATTACGCAGCTGACGGCAGCATTTGATATGTAGAGGTTTTCATGATAGCTCAAGGCCTAGTAATTTATGCAAAATGAGGCTGAGATGAGACCTGCTGGACTGCAGTTGTTTCCCGTAAGCAAAGCAAAGCAAACTGACCCTGTTTTCCCCATTCTTTCAGAACCAGCATTACYCAGAGTCGCAGCTCTCCCTCCTTGAACAAGCAACTCATAATCAACATGGAACCTCTGCAGCCTCTCCTTCCTTCTCCCTGTGAGGAGGAAGAGGTTCCTTTAGATGAAGGTGAGTCACTTACCCAATTCCTGCCAATATTTATTACAAAGCATATAGAAAAAGGTGTGATACTGACTCAGGGATATGGAAAAAAAATCTAATAATTTTCATTACAAATACATCATTAAGCCTCTGCATGTCATACTYGGAAATGGTCACTGTCCCAAGAAACTTCACAAACCTTATATGAGAYACATTGTGAGGAAGGTTACTGCTATTTCATTTCTGTTACACAAAAACTTTTAGATTGCAAGGCAAAAGGATTTTAGGAAATAAATAATATCAACAGGGCACCTTTTCCTAAATAGTGCCAGCAGTTGCTCAGGAGTGAAAACTGGCAGTTTAAAGCTGGATATGTTGTTTTTCTTGATCGCCTTTTCTTTTCTATTTCTTTCTTTCTGCTTTAGTGTTAGGAAAAACTCTCTGCTAATTTAATTTCCTGGACAAAAAAGGACATTATTTGAAGGTCAGCTAGGAAAGATCTGTTAATTTAATCTCTTGGACAAAAAGGAATGTTATTGGAAGATCAGTTTGAATGTATTTTGTAGAACAAGGTTTTCCATGTATTTGTTTATTTCTTGATATGTTAAATCTCACATTGCACACTTTCCTTTTTGAGATACAGTCACTACAAACAATGATATGAACATCATAGCCAGCTTAAATGAGGATAATTGCCTTCTTCCTAACAAAAAAGGAAGTCAACCAAACAAAGCCGGCCAGTGGTTCTTGCTTGAGATGTAGTGAGGTAATTTTTTAAGAGGTTGGGAAGTACAATCATTGCTGTTGCTTTTTTTCAGTCATTTAATGGGAAACCRAAGATAGCTGAGGATCTTCATTTTCATGGGAGTATGTCCTACTTTCATTTTATAGGAGTCATATGAACATGGTTTGTTCATTCTTAGGAGTTTGACACTGAAYGTAGTAAGAACAGGGTGAATTATCTTGTCTGTGTGCATTCCTTATTACAATTAGCAGCAGCAGTTGTTGGTTTTAACAGTTACTTGTCAACCTCTGCTGTGAAATAGATGTATCTGAGAATTTTGGCTCTTTCAGCCAAGCACCACTGCTGTGTTTCCTCTGGGCAGTTGTCACCACTGCAGAGTAACAACAGCTTGATGTGTGTAAGACTCCTGTAACCACACTCACAACTCCAGGCAATGCAATCTATTTTTGGGAACTGGTGATTTACTGCTCTGTGCTCACAGACAGTGCTTGTTTGAAATGTTTTTGTTACATAGGTTTGAAAATCACATTTCCTTTCAGTCAGATTTTTTTTTTAAACTATGATGAGTTAATAGAAATATTTGCTGGTGGGTTTCCTGTASAATATTTTACGTGTAGTTAAATACCACCAGCTGCTAAATTAACGGTATTTAGCCTTTTACAGTSTTCTCCTGCAGGAAACTTGGCTATATCATGAAACTGGAACTTGAGCTGATCTCAAAGCTCTCTGACACTGATACTGGCTCCCTTYCCAACATCCACTTCTGTGGATTCCCAGCTTCTCCCTTGCACCAGTGCTAATCACACCAGATGTGTGATTTAACTCCTAGGGAGAAGGAGTTTAAAAAAAAGGTAAATAAAGTAAATTTAAAACAATGACAAAAACAAACCAAACCCAATAACAAAAGCAAACCAAATGAAACAAACAAAAAAAAATCCAAAACCAAACAACAATCCCTTAACTGTGCAGTGCCTGACCTTTGAGTAGCTCATCAAGGGGGTCAAATGAGGTCCTATTAGGGAGAGGGGAAGCATCCAGCCCTGAGACTGACACAACTGCCTTGGGAAACTGCTTTTAGTGGGCTACAGACATGAAACAGCCTTGGTATCTCTGTATATGTCTCGGCCCAGTGAAGCATACCTTCATTTTTGTTGTTCCAAAGGGAAAAGTCAATGTTTTCAGCCAAATAATTCATGCATGAAATCTGAGCACAGAGGCATCAAGTGACCTAAAAGTTTTCATCTCTTTGTCAAAACCACAATAATATCCTGTGACTGAAGAACCATAGTTTTGCCTTTAAAAAAAAAAATGGTCTACTCAAATAAGTGAAGCCCTGATAGCATCTGGCAATAGAAAATCCAGAGACAATGGACTACCACCTGAAAAATAGTTGCCAAGCCATCAGGACAGGCAGTAATCTGTCTTGCCAAAATCAGATTGTAAAAGAAGGCAGCCACAGAATCTATATTGCAGTATTACAAGAAACGTAATGTGCTCAGCTACACATGGAACAAGAATCAAGCTGTGCTCAGCACTGGTGAGGCTGCACCTTGAATCCTGTGCTCCATTTTGGGGTCCATCACTGCAAAAAGRCATTGTGGTGCTGGAGTGTGTCCACAAAAGGGCCGTAGGGCCAGTGAAGGGTCTAGACCACAAGTCCTATGAGGAGCAGTTGAAGGATTTGGGGTGGTTTAGTCTTGAGGAGGCTTGGGGTGACCTGATCATTCTTTACAACTCCCTGAAAGGATTGTGCAGCCAGGTGGGCATTGGCCTCTTCTCCCAGGTAATAAATAATAGCACAAGAGGCAGTGGCTTCACGTTACACCTGGGGAGGTGTAGTTTAGATATAAGAACTATTTCTTTACCAAAAGGATGGTCAGGCATTGGAATGTACTGTCCAGGGTTAAATCAACATCCTTGGCACATGGGATCACAGTTTAGTGGTGAACACAGCAGTGCTGGGTTAACAGACTTGGTCTTTCCAGCCTTAGTGATTCTGTGACAATGAGTACACACCTGCTACCATCAGTCTATTGTCTGTCTGTGTGAGAGTTCTCAGCTGTGTAAGCTTTGCTTGTAGGGGAGAGGCATATAGAGTTTCTGTAGGTAAATTTCTTTTTTAGGTAGTCAGTTGCTCAGAGTTAATAGAGACAGGGAATTTCTGAATCAGTTGTAAGATTTCAGTATGTCTCATTTATTTGTACATAAACATAGGGAGAGTGATTTGAAATTCACATGCTAATTTCTCTTTTGCAAGAACATGGTCACGTGAAACAAAAATGATACATTCTGTTTCTAAGCATCAGTATGCAGGAGCACACTAGCCTTTCTTTTTCCTTGCACCAWGATTTGATGCCTTGGATATTTTTATGCTTCTGTGTGGTTCAGCTGTTATGCTAGCAACTGCTAGCTGAGATGTATGCTGTGGAAGTTTGTAATGTATGTTATGAGGCATTTGGAAATGTTTCAGATGTTGGAAATCTTTCACGACCTTGTCTGACTGACACTTGTGTCCTTGTTTTGGCCTTCCTTTGTRTATTGGACACATTGGTGGTTAGATWTTGGTAAGAATTTATGCTTTCCAGTTTTTGTAGTCGTGCACACAAATCAAGAGTCAACCCTTTTTAGTGAGATTTTAAYGATCTTGTTTTGGGAGCTACAACAGTTATGAGAATAAAAATGAGAAAAGAAAACAGAGTGTTACTTGTGAAGGGGAAGGACAAAATGGAGATAGAAAGCAAAGCATGCTTGATCTTTCCTCACACCCACAAGAATGTGCTAGAGATGGAAAGGAAGAGAGAAATCTTTGCTTTGCAGGAGAAGGGAGTGAACAGGACCTCTGCTGGATATTTGTACTTTACAGGCTGTGTGAGGAAAGGAGCCACCATAAAGATGCTTTCTAGAAGCTCCGTTGARGCAGATGTCTTTCATGGGAGAAATACCTTGGTGTAAAATTTACGTTTTACTCCCTTCCCTACTCCTCTCTTTCCCACATATTTGTATGCAGATCACTGTCTCTTTGGTCCAAAGGGAACAAGGATGTCAGATAATGAAGACTGAGCACAACATAYGATAAACATTACGGATGAATATTCTGGGAAGTGAGAGGCTACAACCCCACCAGCATATCACTTCCACTTTATCTCTTCTCTGGGACTTTGGTGTACCTGGAAGCAGTTTCTTTCCCACTAGGATACTGTGATGGTAGATGTGGTTGCCTTCCAACTCCCAGCTGGAGCAAGTTATCAGCAGCCAACATTCACGTATCATGCTTTTTTGGGAACCTGAATATCTCTGCTGGTGGGAACAGGGAAGTGCCCAGCCTCCTGAAGGAACATTTCCTTCTGGCAGATAAGAATTTGTCCAATAGTTGTCCACAAGAGGGAACTGGAGCACATATGTAAAGAGAGGAATTTTTCCCAGGCTTTGAAATTTTCTCTTCTTGTTTTCACAGGGGCAGGTCAGTTTTCATTCTAGCCTAGAAATGAGTGTGTTTGTAGTCATTAGTTTGCCTTGTGATTAAGGTTTGTAAGCATAGCATAGGATTTTTCCATTGTATCTGCATGTTCCCCAAAAAATTCCCAGGTAGTGACGGGGAACTGATATTATTGGCCAAATTAAAGCTTTTTAGAAAAGTAATGGAGACAATGTAATTTATTCTGTGAAAAGCAGACTATGAGTGCTGGCCTCTTTTCTAACTGCACTATGTTTTGGTGCCTTAGATATTTTTATGCCTCTGTGTGTGGTTCAGCTGTTAWGCTAGCAACTGCTAACTGAGATGGATGCTGTGAAAGTTTGTATTGTACATTATGAGACATTTGGAAATGTTTAAAAATAACCCCTGGTGCTGTTCCCTAGTGAGATATTTTTGTTGGCCACGTTAGAAGCTTGTCATTTGATTCATTGAGAGTGACTTGTGTTAGCCTCTTTAAACTCAGTGGGAACTTAATAAAAGGTCAAAGCTGGTATGGAGAGAGCCTTTAGAAGACTTTGAGTAGGGGAATTAATAGTCAAAATGGTGAAATGTCTTGTAAAAATCCAGACCAAGAGAAGCATTCATTTGCGGATGGTTAACCACTGCAACAAGGAAGTGTGCATTCGTTTACTGCGGCATGGCTCCAAGATCACAGCCAGAGGGGCTGGTAAATTTACATTTATTTTACCCTTATCAAMCCCTTTTTTAAACCCTCTGTCCCTAGTTTGTTAACAGTTGAGGCTTGAGAAGGAACTGTGCTGTAAATGATGATGTTGCTTCAATGGAGCAGAGAATAAGGGCAAATTA